GTCGAGGACTTGGCAGGCGTCATTAATGACAAGAACCCCATAGGGAGGCGAGAGGTGGGGTATCTTAGGTTGCCTGTAGAAAGATACACTTCATGTCCGCAAGGTGCTCGGCATATGCTCTCGTGCTTTACCGTTCGTCTCAGCGGACCTGCTACTACCAATGGCGGAGACTGTACTCTTGCCGTGTCTCGATGAGTCCGACAAGACGGTCCGGGAAGCCGCCTGCACCCTAGGGGACCTTGTGGGCGTGGTCCTGGTCCTTAGGGCCTCTTATCAGGAGCGTTCAGATACTCACTAGAGACGATAGTTTGCAGGGGGTGATCCTTACTAAACTGCACACGATGACTGCGGCCCGTCGAAAGGCCATCGAGGAGCGAATGAAGTGTCTCAAGGTTGTCAGTACTCCTATGTCGGCCTCCACTGCCAAGCCCAGTAGAGAGCCCTTGAGGGCCACTGGGGGGGAATGCTGTCATGGTCAGGCGTACCAACCATGAGAACGGGCTCCACACCGGCCAGTGGGAAGGGTTCGAGGGTCCGTGAGATCTCAGCGGAGTCAACTGCTAGCCGCAGAGTTAGAGTGCCGGCTATCAGGGCACCAGGAGGAACTGCCAATAGGATCAACACTAGAGGGGCGGTAGGCAGGAGGGACAGGTGGGGTTCTTGTCGAGGCTTCTTCTAGATGCAACGAAGACCAGTGGAGCCTCCACTGGCCCTGCCTTGTGGGTCCGCACCCACTGCTGTCACACCGGTAAGTCCCTCCATAAGGCTGCCGTACAGCAGTGTGCTCAGACGGGGGCGGCTACTAGTGGCAAGGGCACAGGGCGAGGGATGATGGCACCAAGACCAGCAATACCAAGGGCCACGTCTCGTCCTCGAGGGAGGTAGGGCTCCCTCTTCCCCCCTGCCCTGGACTTTCTATCGCAGGTCCGGCGTCACGACCGCTACTACTAGTCAGAGGTGAGTAGTCTTTGGTTATAGTGGGGGCCACGGTGTCGGTCAGGACTCCTGGGTCCTCTCTACTGAGGCAGGCTACACTCACTTCCTCTAGCAGCACTCTAGAGACAGGGGCTGCCTTGGGTAGGGGAAAGAGGTTCCTCCATGGGCACATCGTCGTCGTCAGGTGTTGAGCTTATCCCTGCTGCCGGGTCCAGGCTCAGAAGGCAACACAACGAGAGGCACTCTATGTGGTGGGTAGTGTAGGAGGGTGTCGCCTACCACTATATGGTGTTGGGTATAGGCCCGTCGAGGATATCCCTGAGGCGTTGGTGTCGGCATTGCATCATCAGTGGAATCAGAGTGTGAATACTCAGGATGCTTGCAGTGCACTACTCCTACGTGGGTTTCATTCCTTCCGTCTTCTCCTGGTTAGCAGTTCCTCCACAGAGAAAATGTTCGCGCCCCGAGGAGCCTTCGCGGAATTCGTCATCGCCATTGACTTCTGGGCCGACTTCTACCGTACTGTTGACGATAGAGAGAAGCCCCTCCTAGATGAGGTGGGTGTTTCCCCCGGCTGGCTCCTTTCCCCACTCTAATTCGGTTTAGGTCTTTGACCTCGTGGCGAAGTGGTGTACTTGGCTGCTCAGCACATGTAAGGACAACCCACAAGTGTGGAAGTCGATGCTGGACCTAATGGATGCCCTCCTACCCACCGTCAACAGGCAGGCAGCGAGAGCCTATCTCTGGTGTCACCCCAGTGTCACCACAGGCCCTTCACTGAACGGGAATGCAACGTCTTCATACCTGCCTTGTTGGAGCGAATGGGCCACAAAATGGCAGCCTTTCGGAGCCACATCAAGAACTTGGTCACCATCCATTTCGTCAATACC